CATTTGATGTGATAATTGAATGCCTTTTTTATATGCGATCCACAGTTCACTTCCGGTTTGTGGTGTTTCGGCCATTCATTGGCGAAGTAATTGTCGGCAAAATCAGGTCGTGTTCTCGCGATGGAGTCCTCGTCTCTTTGGGCTTCTTTGACGACATTCTAATACCTCCTCATTATCTTCAGGACAACTCTATATTGTATGCAATGATAGCATTGTTTGCCACGAATTGTCTATTAATTGATTGTTTGTCTGTTTTGGCCATAAGTGACGAGAAGGAGCAGCTGTGGTACTGGGAGTACGAGTCCAACAAACTATTTATGGATATCGGAGAGAAGGTTAGGTTTAAGGTGAAAGAGGAGGTCTTTGTGGACACATCACCGGTCGGTCCCACAGCCGCTGCCTCCTCTGTGGTCGCTTCCGGTGATTCCAACTCTTTGGGCGATAATAAGCGCAAAATTCCGTTTTTAATTAAAGTATTTCTCATTCGCTGTTTATTTTGATTATCGTTTTGTTTAAACAATTGTCTCAATATTTTAGGGAACGATAAACGAGTCCGGATTGGGTCTCATCTCGTGGTGGAAAGAATGACACCAATTAGTGATATCATTGGATGTAGTCATCGACGGCTCAATTCATATATCATTTCGTTTCATTAATTTAAAATAAATTGTAAAATACTTTTTTTTGTTAAAAAATTCATAGAAATTGTGATCAAAAGAGTAATTAATTTGATGATCAGTTTAAATAATAAGTTATGAGTTTTAATCTATTTGTAATAAATATAAAAAATTAATTTATAAATTAAATTAAATTACAAATGATTATAAAATACAAAACTTATGACATTTGAAAAGTTGGCCCAAAAGTGAATTGAATGCAAAGAAAGCATTGAATTGTAATTCAAAATGCAATCCAAAGATTTCGCTCCTCTTTTGAGTCCTCTTTTCAGTCAATGTTTTTGTGAATTGTTTTTGAAAAAAGAGATTTGTGTTCACGTCTTGTGGCGAAGAAGTGGTCGATTGAAGAGATCCAGAGCTGATTTGGCGATAATGGGTGTGTCGTGTGTGCACTCGCTGTCAATCCCCGCCGGAAAGGGCGGCCAACAAGTGATTGAGTCGATTAGCCGACAGTTGGAGTCATTCGGTGCCACAAAATGCGGACAATTTTATGTGGAATGCGATTCATATCTATCGGTGAATCACATGACAGGACAGACATCCGATGCCATCGACAATACGGTGGGCGCCGGCGGACAGACATCGCGTGTACTCAATGTCTATCACTCGTCGGAGTATCCCATGAGTTGTTTCGCGCTGTTAGACACCGGCTCTTCACTGGTGGCCGACTCCACCTTCGATGCCATTGTCATGAATTTGTCGGCCATTTATAGCAATAAGAAGGGAATCCGAATCGACTGCAGAGGACAGAAGTGGTCGTTGAGTGACTTCTCGGTGCGAATCGGCACCTGTTCTTTGGGTACACAACTCAAGGGAGTGCTTCTCGAGGTTGAGTACAAGCCATCGGTGGTGGCCATCCATTGCTGGGATCTGATCAAAGAGTTGGCCCAAAGTCTGTGCGGAAGCGGTCTCTCGGATACGAATCAATGGATGTGCTCTCGAATGAATCAAATCTATTCACCCATCGATACAATACAACAATACAATCAACACTTCAATCAACTCCGAAGGGCTCAGACAACCGCTTCCATTCCCGCCGCCATTTCCACCAACACTTCCAACGCTCCCACACCTCAAGCCGTCGCCAAATGAGACCATAACTCACTCTTTCATCTATTTTTACGAATCATTTCTTTAAATATCAATACATTTGACAAAAATTGAATTAATTTAATAAATTTAAAAATATTTTTCTAAATAATTGTTTATTTGATTTAATTTTCAATTAGTGTTTAGAAATCTCTCAAATGACGGGAAAATTAAATTACTTCTCATCTAAAGCCAAACGTTTATGCATTAAATTATTATAATTGCAAATAATAATCAGCTTTTAATTTAACTAAACGTTTAAAAGAAATACAAATAAAATTTACAACATTGGGATTCAGTCCGAGTAATGCATATTTGAATATATTTTGTAAAACTATTTAAATTACAAATAATTATATAATTTAATAAAATTAAACGTTTTTAATATTGAATTAAAATTGCGGTTTTATTTATTTGTGAGCCTTTAATACATGCGATAAATTTCTCACATCTCTTCTCACGTAAAAGTCTTGGACACCAAAGTCTATGCAAATGTGTGTCAACAACACTGACATCTAATTAACCATTGAATTCACGACAACGAGTGGTAATTATATTTTTTGTTTCCAAAATAAAGTTATAAAACCATAAAAATAAATTACAAATTCGTTTATAGTAAACATATTTATAGCAAGCAATTAAATATTTCATTAGTTTATGGGAATAAAAATTAATAAATAAAAAATCTCAAAATATTATACTATATTTATTTTAATAATAATTTTTGTAAAGATTATTGTTATAATTTATAACTTATAAACAATCTTTATTTTTAATGATTATAATTAAATTTTTAAAATTATTTCGTATATGATGAAGTTTAAAATGCTTTAGTTTACAACTAATAGAGTGTGATTTGAATTAATTATAACCTATTGTTAATAAACGGATGCTTTTATAATTTATTAATACAATAATGAATGTAATATATGGCTAGAAATATGAATCGCAAATATGAGCCACATTTCAAATATTCATTTCTTTCAAAACAATATAAATTAAAATAAATTAGTTTCGACTCCTAATGAGTATATTATTATGAATTATATGTTTGAGTCCATGAGATAGAGATAGAGTTACATCAAAACTACTCTTTTCGTAATTGGTTTCTAAAATGTCATTTCAGTTGTTGTTATGGGAATTAATTTCAGCTTTATTTGTGATTTATGAATAATTTATTTCATATGAAATAATCATATTTTCATAAATGTCTAATTTTACAATTATATTCCTTTGTTAGAATTAAATTAAAATCATTATTATATAGATCTAACACTTAGTTTTAATTTTTGTAATCCTTAGAACTTTTAGAAATTTTTTTTGAATTTTTGAATTTTGAATCCATATTCAAATTACTGCTAATTATTATTAAAACTTTGTAAAAAATGAAAACTTAAAGCATTACTGACTTTTTAAGACATTACCTGAAATAACAACTGTTGCCATTGTTTTCAACATTTCTTTATAAAAATGGGTCAAAATAATAGAAAAAAGTAATTAAAGTGAATTAGATTTACACCGATTTAGTTTAAAGGATACAACAAATACCAAACATGTTAGTAATTTTATTTTAATCAAAAACCCATTATTAATAGAAATTCACATTTTTAATACAATAAAACCTTAAAATAAAGTTTTCCACAATTGAGTGTAGAATTGAAACTAAATTAAAATTTTCAAAATATTTTTCAAATTAACGGCAAATAGTTCTCAAAATTCTAACAAAAGATTAAACAATAAATACTTTTCATCTATTTTTAACAAATAAATCAATATTTGATTCATTTTTTATTAAATATTTAGTAAAACTCAATATAAAAGTTCTAACAAGAAGTAAACTAAAAATGTTTTAAGAATTTTCTACTCTTTTTTATTGACCGACAATTATATCGGAAATGATTTGTTTCGAGTTATGAGCTATGGATCTGATAAGTGGTACACGAATTGAGATCTTATGATAGAAAACTTCAAACAAAGTCAAAATAAAATCTTTTATATCTGTAAATATATATTTTGAACCACAATTCTTTACTTATAGAATGTAGTTTAGAAATTTGAACATTCCAACACAATCTTTCTTTGGAAAATAACATCAAAATCTAATGTTATTTTTAATATTAACTATTTATCTCTATTTTAATGTTAATTCTATGGGTTAAATGTTATAACAAATTAAAACAACAAATATTTGATAAAATAAGAAATTTTATTCGTTATTAGATTTATTTGTCGGAAGTATTATTACATATACTTATAGTTATTTACAAGTATTTACAATAAATATACTGTATATCAATATAATGAGAGTATGTCTTAATCTCTTATTTATTCAATACTTAATTAATTTTCATTTATAACACGTTTTGAGTGGAGAATAACGTATTGAAAAACATATAATAATTTGTTATATAAAATGATAGTAATATTTAAATATGAATATAAAGTGGTATATAATGACTAATAATGAGCTAAACGTGAGCCAATATGTGCACCTCATTGCTGGACACTACCGGTGCTGAGCATAGAGTCGGTATTGTTGTGGTGGAAGTCGTGGTCGGAGTATTGGCTGCCATTATACTAGTGGGAGATATGGCCACTATATTCACACCATTGGGTGTACAGACTTGCGATGTGTTTGTCGTCTGAAGAATAGTCACTCGATTGATGTCGTGATGCGATGAGTGATGACATGGCTTTTGGGTCAAGGATTTTGATGGCTGTGTTTGGGTGTGACTAGTGGTCAAAATGGTAGACATTGGCGTCGGTGCCGGCCTTATAGCCGTCGGCGACCCCAGTGTTGGCTGCGCTACGGTTTGCGTTGTCGTCGACTGGTATAGCGGTGTAGACGACACTAATGGTTGGCCATCTCCGGACACAACTGGCCTATAACTGGGGGGACGATTGGGTGGCCGTTGTATTGTATTTGCATTGGACTGGGGCTGACGGGGAAGGGTTCCTGCAAATGACATATCATATATGAATTAAATAAAATGTAAAGAATATAAAAATGATATTTTAATAACAGATAATGAATGAGGCGATGGCTTACCGGTAAGACTGGAGGCCGCGGATGAGCGATAAGTGGGCGGCGGAGAGACGGGCGAGAGTGAGGTAGACTGTGGGTGTGATGACGATCGGTCCAACAACAGTAACCTGAGCCGATACTCTTGCATCGACGCCTGGTATGAGGGCGGAGGCGGTCTGTACTGGAATTCCGGGTAAAACATAGCGCCGTAGGGGTGATGGTGTGTTCCCGTCCGGCCGTACGGCGCCGGAACCCGAGGCACAAAACGACGAGACGCCTCGTTAATGGAGCTGCCGTTGCAAAGTGACTGCTGTTGATGGAGCTCATGGAGGCCGAGGATCGACCGCCACGTCGGGCCCGTCGACGTCAGTCTCCACGCGATTCCGCTCACAGTTATCAATATAATGCCCACTCCTGTCATACAAAACACATTTCATTAGTCATTGGATTTACATTTACTTGATTTATGAAAATGATCAAGTTGACAATTCATGATTATTACACTACAATATGATAGGACCTGGTAATAGAAAGGGCCAAATAATTGACATTTTTTTGCAAATCACTAAATCATTGCCTCAAATGTCGTTATAATCGGTTCGCAATTGAATGGCTGTCAGTGTTTAGTTGTGTTGGAAGTATTTGACTGAACAGAACATTAGGGTAAAAGTTTTGGCAAAACTCATTCTTAATGGCAATGAATTTTGAAGTGAAAATAATTAAAAAAAGAGAGAAATGGTTTTATTTGGGAGTAAAGTATAGAAAACTTAATTAAGTGAAGCAATTAAGTAAATGCTTTGCACTCAACAAACTATAAGAGTATAGAGTTGTTGGGTATCATTAATGTCTTGAAAGGAAACTCCAAAGGAATAATTATTTAGTTATTTGACTAAAAAAGTTGTGTTTGAAAACTAGAGCTCAAATAAAATTGTAATCTAATGAATGCTTATGTATACAGTATTTATACAGTATATGAAAAAACTTTTTTGATAATTAATTTGAAAACTATATTAATTTTTGTTAGAACACAGATATGAATGAAATGTTTTTATTAACATAAAAGTAGATATAAAGCCTAATTCATTGTTTAAACATTGATTATGTTTAATTCAATAGTGATTTACTTTAATCTAATTAATTTCATTTCACTAATACAATGAAAGCCTTTATAATTGTTGTAATTGTGTACAAATCATTAGATATGCCGTACAATTCATGAAAGCATATAAAGTTACAGTGCTATTAAATTGGGCACAAAATTAAGAGTAATTTTAATGTTGCAAATCAAATTTAAGGTTAGTTTTTACAGATGAATGCATACCATAGAAATCAATCAATTATTAAATGTAATATTAATATAAGATTGTAATGGTTTGAATGTATGCTAACTCAACATGAATTACAATAAATAAATCTTAATTTCCATTATTAATAGTCAAAGGCATTGCCAATCAGAGCAAGCATTCAATTGTTATACAATTTTTATCGTCATAATTTTTATGGCATTTCATAACACAAAACAATATTGTTTAACAAAATCATAATTTTCATAAAAATATGTTTACTTTATATATAATACTGTATTCGTTGAAAATGTATTCTTAACTTCTTTTGAATTTTTGTATAACATTTGAATAAATATGAAATTTCTATAACAAACACCGAAATGCAAATAACAAATACTGATTTCAAAGTAGAAAACTCTATGTTCATAGAAATATTGAAGTCATTTGTTTGTTAAGTAAATCGGAAACAATTATTATGTAAAACATAAAGGTATAAATCAATACAACAAACAGTATATAAGTAATCAATTTATGGATTCTTTAAGACTTAAAATGGAAAACCTTTTGTGACTTCGAGTCAAAAAATATATGAAATAATTAAATAATTGTAAGTTTAAGAGGAAGTCAAAGTAATATTTCAAAATTGTTGACATTTTCCTAGATTTCGTTGACATACGGTATGCCTGGGGTTTGACTCAAATGTAATGCAAATTAAGCATTGCATGTCATATATGCACAAATCAATTCTACATACAGTACTACTGGATTATA